GCTGCGCCGCGGCCCGCGCGCCGCCGCCGTCGGCGAGCGCGCCGCAGCACGTCCTCTTGGAGGGCCTCGCGGCGCGGCTCGGGGCGCCCAACGTGTCCATGCACCGGAGCCTCGCGGCCATCGCCGCGCGGCGCGGCAACGCGTCGCTCGACGCCGCCGCGCGGCAGCGGCAGCTCTGCGACCTCCTCGACGGGCCGACGCGGCGTCCCCCGGGGAGCTGCGGCCCGCGCTGGTTCTTCGTGCCGGACACGCGCAAGGACATGCCCTTCGTCCGGGAGGAGATGGCCGCGCTGGGCCTCTGCGCGTACTCGAAAAAAAAGGCGCCGCCCGACGGGAGCGTCGACGTCTTCTTCGGCCACGACTTCCCGCCCTGGAACCGCTCCTGGGCCCGCCCCCTGTCGCCGGCCTTCGCCGACGGCGGCGTCGTCGGCGGCGGCGTGCTCCCCGGCGCGTCGGACCTCGGCGCGAAGCAGGCGATGACGGAGCTCTACCGCGACTGCGTCGACGACGTCGAGTCGGGCCGGCGCCGCGCGGCGCTGTGCCCGCGCCTCGCGGGCCGCGGCCTGCTCGTGAGCTTCGACGTCAACGGCGAGGAGGTCGTCGACTGGCGCCGCGACCGCTTCGACGCGCGGGAAAAGGCGCGGCTGCGGGCCCGCGACGTCCCGCGCCTCGCCAAGCTCCGCGGCGAGATCCAGAAATACCTCCACGAGCGCGAGGGCCTCGAGTCGTCCGCGTGGATCGTCAAGCCCCAGTCGCGCCTCGCCGCGGGCCTCCACCAGTCGCGGGGCATGCACCTCGCGCGCCTCGACCACGGCGCGGACCTCGCGAGCGACGGCGCGTTCCTCGCGTGGATCGCCAGAAACATGAAAAGAGGGGAATGCGACGACGGGTCCGTTCTGGACGTCCCCCATCGCAAGTACTGCGCGCGGCGCAAGGTCGTCTTCCAGAACTTCGTCGAGGACGTGTCGGAGATCTTCGGGCGCAAGTACGACGTCCGCGTCTGGGCGCTGGTGACGTCCGTGGACCCGCTCCGCGTCCACGTGCTCCGCCACGGCCTCACGAAGATCGCGAGCACGACGCGGCGTTCGGTCGCGAACGGCACCTTTGGCGCCGTGAAACCGCTCGAGGACGACTGCGCCCACATCAAGCTGTTGATGAACCCGTCGTGCGGCGTCACATCCGTCGCGCAGTTCACGGCGGGCATGGAGCCCGAGGGCTACCCGAAGTCGACGGCGTCGCGCGCCTTTACGGAGCGCGCGACGTTCGGCCCCCGGGCCTACCGGGGCGCCGCGTCGACGCGCGCGGGCAACGAGGCGCTCCTGGCGTCGACGACGTGGCCGCGCGTCGAGGGCTTGTTGACCAAGGTGCTGCTGCGGTCGCGGGACAAGCTCCGGGCCCGCGGCGCCGAGGCCGCGGACCTCGAGGCGCGGACCCGCGGCGGCGGCGCGCCGGTCGCGGCGCGGACGTCGCCCGCGGCCATGCTCTCGCCCGACTTCGTGCTCGACCGCAGGGGCGTGCCCCACCTCGAGGAGATCAACCACAAGGGCCTCATCATCGGCGAGAACGGCGACGACCAGTGTGGATTCCAACCACCAAACTTCAGAACTCTCTAGCTCGGTCAAATCGAGGTCGATTCGGCTGATTGTTGGACGAATCGATTGCTCTCGTCGAGTTCTCGAAGCAGAGCGAAAGAGTCTGGTCCAAACCGTTCGATTACGCGCAGATTT